AATAATAATAAATTTCTTTTTATAGTTACGTAACAATTCTTTAATCATTAAAAACAACAATAATTTTTTATGGTCATGTAACAAATTTTTTAATCATTAATATTAATACTTATTGTATCTCGATTTAACAGATACTAATTAAAAATCTTGATTTAATGGATTGAGGTTTAATAATATAATAAATTCTTCTCGATATAATGCATTTCTTGAAGAAATCGTCTATTTCATAACTTTAAATTCACATGGCCATGAAAAGTTCAGTGACCAAGTGACTTGCGCTATATATAATACATTTTTATTCCACCTGTAAATTTGCATCTCTGATCAATATCTTATATCCAATATTTATTTCTCATAAAAAAATCTCAATCATTCTTCACATCATCTCCTGCAATTTAATAACTTTTTATTAGCTAAACAACATCAATCTAAAATGTAAAATAACCAATCAATTAATTACATTCATAGATGTTGGCTGAAATTACTCCTCTTAGTAAATGACTGTTGTCGAATCCGAAATGCCAAAATAGCTTTCCTAATTAATTCCAAAGTTATTTGAACTCAATGAATCAAATAGTATAGTTATTCATATAAAGAGTATTAATAATTGCAGCAAATAACTTTCATCCAATCAAACAATACAAATTCCCTCTCTAATTTAAATGATTATTATTTAAATTTAGTAAATAACTTTATTAGCATTGATCCTGACTTTCTGTTTCCTATGTAATATATAGGATCAGCCAGCTTTGAAACCCTTCAACTAGCATAAATATGTTTTCTGGGAAACCAACCAATAACTTTGTAGAGCTTACCCCAATAAACAAAGTTACTGGTGGATTTCCCCAAAAAAGGTATTTATGCTGAGCTGAAGAGTTTCAGAGTCAGGTGATTTCATTGTCAGGTTAAGAGGAATTACCACACCATATATTTTGTGGAAAAACAAACAGGAATTTAATTTTAATTATTATTGTATGGAGAAATAGGTGTAAGTAGACCTTTCGAATGAGAGAGAGTATCTTGAAAATTATGATGTGCTTGTAATGACTGCACAGATTTTTTTAATTATTATTACTATCTTGATTATTATCACTGTTCAATTATTTCAATGTTATTTTGGTTGTAGGTGTGGGATTCGTTAAATAAACATAGTATAAAATATTTTTATTCATGAATAAATGAAAAAACTGCAACATTGATTAGAAATGAGTTATAGAAGCCTGGAATTTGATTAAAGGGCATAATTTTTATAATTTTTATAGAAGTGACTACAAGTAAGATCTAGAATTTTTTATTTTCATATTTATAAATTGATATATATAATCTTTACTAAATGTGTAATTTTGGCATTTCAGAAACAATTCAGAATACAACTACAAGTCCGAAATATTTTAGTGGTTATAGCCAACAACAACTTTAGTTCAAATCCTTCTTTAGTGATGCAGATAGGTTTTTGGCCTTTATCATACAATGTTTACCAATTGGATCTGTCAAGAGAAACACTTATTCTTCTTGAAAACTACAAAAAATGGTGATTTTACACTACTTGATGATTTTCAGCAAGAACATAATAGATAAAATCTTGTTTTTTTTGGGTATTATTCCCCTAAGTATCCAATATATTTAATATTGAGGTCATAGAACATTTTCTTTTCTTTGAAAGACTTTGTAAAGAAGGACGAGCAGATGATTTTGAGAAAGTTTGAGATGTTTCTAGCATATATGCTTATTGTTGTGGTCATTTTAGTGGAAAACTTTTGTCCATATGTATATTACCATATTTAGAGGGATTTACATGATTTATCCATTTTGGCCCTGGTATTCCGATCAAATTCTAAAAATGCAAGTTAATCCTGTTATCAATAGTATTAATAATAACAATAACACCAACAATTTGCTCTCTTTTCAACAGACAACGTCGCCAATATTACATGAAAATGATATTAGACCACCAGGAGTAGTCACAACAACTACCACGCCAACTAACGGTCTGTCATATTTTAGTTGGCGTTTGTTTGTTCACTTTTGATTCATTTTTTTAATCTATCTAATTATCTGATCAAATTACTTATTTAGAACAAGAATGGTTAAAATTATGGATTAAAGCACGAAATATCAAATTTTATAATAGTAATAATGATAATGATAATGGTAATGATAAATCATTATCGTCATCATTAACCGGATCTTTACCAAATATCAATGATTCTAGATTAAAAATACTTAAAACAAATGAATTATTACAACAAACTAAAAATCAATTGGAAGAATTGAAAAAAAGACTTCAAAAAAAAAATGATGACAGTGATGTTGTTGCTGTTAGTGAAGACGAATGGAAGATAAAAGTAGAAGAATTTGAAAATAAAAAGGTTTGTTTTAGATTTTTTGATTTTTTTTTTGAAAAAAAGAAAAATAATAATTATTTTATATATTTTTTAGAAAGCTTTGGAGAAAAATTTATCAGAAATTTTTGATAAGAAATTTAAAGAAGATCTTAAAACAAAATTAAACAAGATAAGAAGACACCAGGTAATGAATCAAATAATAATTAATTAACAATTAATCAATTAATTAATTTGCCTTATTTGCTTTTGATTTATTTGATTATTGTTGTTATCTAAAGAAATGGAATAAAAAACATATTAAAAAATTACAAATGATACGAGATGAACGACAAAGTAGACGAGAAACATTACATAAAACCATAGACGAATGGAGAACAGAATGGATAGCGAAAGATTTAGCACTTAAACGAGTAATTAATTAATTTCATTCATATCCACAATTTATTATTATTATTTATTTATTCAATTATTCAGTTTTTTAAAATATAATAATTCAACTTTCTATATATATATATATATGTATCAGGAACAAGCAAGAAAAAAAGAAGCTGAAAAAAGATTTCAAATAGCTGAATTTAATAAAAACAAACATAAAGAACTTAAAAAAATATTAGAAAAGGTTAGACAATTAAGAGATTTACGTCGTGTACGATTTAAACGAGAAGGTCATTTCTTTCCGGAAGAGGATGACGAATTTTTCAATAGAATAGCATCACTGAATGATGTAATGAATGAAGAGGAAGCTAGATTGGATCAGGAGAGAGATGCGGCTGCTGAACATAAACGAAATGAAACTATCGATGCCGGGATGAAAGAACGTGAACGTGAAAGAGATCCTGTCTATGAGTACTGGCATCAAGCCGAAATTGATCTTGATAGTTTGGTTTCTATAAGGTACATATATACATATACATTTACAATTATATATACTCAATTACAAACATGTATTTTTAGGTATAAGTGGGATGCTTATATAGTACCTCCAGGTACAAATGGAGCATCGTGTATACCTCCAACATTTGTACAACCATCACCACCTGCGAATTATATATGGGCATCTTGTCTTACACATGGAATTGATCATCACGAATCAAACCAACAACATGACAGATAATATTATTCTATTATTAATTATTTATTATCATTATATTAATATTAACCCACCTACCCCCACCCATTAAATGTTACAATATACAATTTATAAATAAAAAAATCATCTTCAATCTATTCTATGGTCCAGCAATATCTTCTTCTACTATCTCATCACCTTCTATACTTAAATCAATATCAGCTCTATCAATATTTTTGGATTGGGTTTTTTCTAATTGTTCTTTAGTACCAGTATATTAGAAATTAGGATCTATATAATCAACCACATCGTTATCATCTATGGTTTCATAAGGAATCATTGTTGTAGTTTCCTCAGCAACTTCATTACTAACTACATCATTTGCTATCGCATCATCTAAAATTGTTACTAGTCCTGGTTCTGGTTCTGTTACCGGCGTTACATCATTTATCGTTTCAACTGTAACAATATTTTCTTCAGCTTCTGTTATAGTATCTTCTATTGTTTGATCTACTTTAAAATCATTATCATCTTCATCCATAATTTTGAAGCTTTCTGTTGTTAAAGTTTCTACTGCTGCTAAAACTTTC